CTGAAAATTCGGTTACTTCTACCAAGATGATTGCAATAGTACATAAGTACCTTTTTTTTAATTAATTACTTTTTTCCCCAATGTTAACTTCGAGAAAGCTGCACTAGTGGAAGTACCGATGCCAGTCAAGTTAGATTGAGAGTAATGCATCTAACAAGAAAGAGAATGATACTGCTGCAATCCTTCTCTAATAATGATGCAAACACTATGATTCATAGCCATACCTTTTTCAGTCTGATGCAATACGGAACCCACATAAAAAATATTGACATGAAAATAAGCTAATTCTTTCTCTCATTATATCAGCAACAACAGCATGCAGTTTTTAATGATTTTGTCTTTCTGATCAAATGGTCATAAAAAAGCTCCATCCAATATTTCACCTATATTCAATTTTAATCAATTAAATATGGCAAAATAATTATCATAACTCATCAGAAATCAATAATGTGAAAACACACAAACAGACATTCTTCTTTATATGTACAGATTTTGTAAAACTTATAAATTTTTGATTAACAAACTCTACAATTTGAAAGTGAGCAGTAACAACACTTTTCAAAATAAAGCATTTTTTATCTCCAGTGTGCGAGACTGTTGCCACTCAGAAAAATGAGAGCAAAAATTAATGTTTTCAGAACTTTTAATTACTATTTCGGCTGATTAAAGTCGTATGAAGATGAGAATAATCAAAATGGCTTCTCATGAATTTTTGGAATTGGGAATAATGTGGTTAATCTTTGGATTATGGTAACTTGGCGATTTTTGACGAAAATTTAGCGACCAACCCTGCTACAGCAACCTGCTTTTTTTTGGGGGGAGACGCCATTTTATTTTTACAAAGTAAAGGCATGTTTCTTTCTTTCTTTCTTCTTTTTTTTTTTTTTTTCCCCTTAACATTTTTTCCAACAATCTGCTAGCCGAATTACGCTTATGCTAGAACTTTTATGGAACAAAAGTGCTTAATCATGACGAAGATTAGGTGCAAAATTGGGAGAAAGTGCAGAATCGCCCACTGCTGCCGCATTTTTAAGAATGCACATACCATACCATGTATACGTCGACCTATTTCATTAAAAAAAAATTCCAAAACTGCACAAAAATGGCATTGGCACACTCTTGACTTTATCCATGACACTGCTAAAGTCCTAGCTAGTACCTTTATCGCTTTACCAAAATGTCGCCAAACTACCTGTTACCATATTCCAAAGATTTAGCCAATAATGTATTTAATGTTTGGCAGTGCTATTTATATGTCATCATAAAACTTAGAATTTTTTTATTAACAAAATCTAGGATTTGTAAGCAAGCAGTGGTAACAACTTTCGAAAGAAAGCAATTTTTTCATCTCCAGCTTGCGAGACTGTTGCCACTCGGAAACATAAGGGCGAAAGTTATCCCTAAGTTACTCATAGTTACTCATAATATCATTAGTTACTCATAAGGGCGAAAATTATCCCCGCCCCCTTTTTTAAATTAATATCTCTGACTTTAGCTATTTTTTATGGAAAAAAGTGGACGTCAACCTTTTCCAGAACCCAGACAAGAATCGTAGAAAGTTTGGCGACGACAGCTATAGTAGTGACTGAGTTATTAGAGGACAAACACACAAACTTTCTCCTTTATATATATATATAGATCATTGTTTAGTAAAACTGTTAAAAAATAAAACTGAAGCAATCTATTTCCAGGCATATGCATACTTGTGAACCTCAGACATTGTAAAATCAGGAGTTTTCTTAAGAGGTCAGAAGAATTTTCTCAACACAAAACAAATGTTTTAAATAATAAAAATATACAGAAAGAAAGTATATTTTTAATAATGAATTAACTATAAATAATAACTAATTAATACCTGAAAGTTTAGTTACTATTTCCTAAATGCAAATAATGCAAAAATACTTACATGTAAAAAAAAGAAAAAAGAAGAAAAAGTTTTATTACATGTACCTTTTAATACTAGAAAAATAATTAGTTTCCCTAATCATTAAATAATACTATAACCAGACCACTCGTTATTGATTTCAAAATATTAATTAATGAAATTCTGTGCTGTAGAATTGTTTTAAGAACATCAAATGACAGCAAACTGAAACATACAAGAAAAAAAGCTTTGCTAAGGTTGAAGACAAAAGCATAAATATTCATTCTTCACAATATAAACTTACAGTAATCAGAAAATATGTTCCCTGCCAAGAAATGTTTTTATTTTGGGAAAGCTTTATATTTTTTAGCATTATTTTGAGAACTGCCAATTAAATTGCTAGCAGATTCATAAATTACTTAATTTTTCTCATAGCTATTTTTAATAGTGGGAGTAATAACTGCATCTCCATTTACTTAAGGTATTTTATAACTTTCCAATAAAGCCTTCCACTCTAACTCTAGAAACATTTACTTCTTCCACAGAAAATGTTAAAAGTGGGTTTCATTGGTCAAGGATTCTAGATAAATCTCTCTCTAAAGATAACCAGTGTGAACATACATATTTCAGATTTTTTTTTATTTCAATATTATGCAGCTGTTGGAATTGTTTCAATTTTCCCTTCCTTTTAGAAATCTTTTTAAAAACATAATAAATATCAGCAATGTATATATCCATGCTTATTGACAAAGAAGTTGACCCTTTTTCAACTGTTAAATTTAAGAAAAGGCAGCTGCACCTCACAATTTGCAAATCTGAATTTTCTTTTTTAAAGATGCCTATAGCATCAGACTTCAAGCTAACCATTTCTGGTGCACTGTTCAGGGTAAGCAATTATTATGAGGAACTGCACTTTCTTTCAAAGTTTTAATATTTAGCTCTGCTGTATATTAAAACATGTCGAATCTCTTTCTAAAGTGGCGATAGAAAGTAAACTTCACTCAATTTCTGAAGACTCTAGATTAGAAAGGAAAAAAAAAAAAAAGAGAGAGAGAGAGAAACAAATGGATACAGTTTTGCATCGGTATTATTGCTTCCATCCATAGACAGGCAGATTAGAACTGTTTTAATACAATCAATAACTGAAGACTTATTTTTCATACTAATTTCTCGAACCCATTTCTTCTATAACTGCAGCTGCTTTTGTCCTCGCACTTGAATATTTCTCAGTGATTTCACAGCAGGGAAATACTTTTCTAAATAAAGCTGCAGCATGATCTGATGCAGTCAATGGCAGATTGTGTTTCAGCAAAAAGGCACAGAACAGGCATTCTGCACTAACTTTTTGGTGCTTTTGTTTCCACTAAAAAAAAAATTTTTTTTTTCCAGTACAATTCACGTTGTCCTTGTGTACGCACATGTTTAAGAACATTGGTTCTTCCATTGTGTGAAACTCAAAAATCGCAAGGACAAACAGTAGGTATTATAGTATTACATTTCCTTGACCAAACAATAGAAAGAAAAACATCTGTGTACGATATTTGAAAAGTACATGAGTATTTTACATTTTTCGTCATAACTAAGATTAAAGAACACCGTTTCTTAAACTGTTTCTGGGAAGTATGTGAAACTTATGCTGCTCACTGGTGAGATGAACGAAATAACAACCTTGATTTTGCTTTTTGCTCATTGGCTAATATATGCCCGATATCCATCACAGGTGCTTGATTCTTATTGGAGAACAGGAACATGATGTTTTCAGACACGTGTTTTAAACTCTCATACTCAAAGCACAAATGCTCCATATCTCATAGTTAAAAACGTTACTTTTTTTTGGCAAGTACGTATCTAAAGGGAAAAAACAAGCCCTTTTAGATGCTAAAAATCACTTTTTTAATTGCAAATAATGAAGTATTAAGCCAAGCTACATAAGACCAATATTATGACACAATACAATTTATACACACAGTACATATGCATTATCACAATTGTCTTAGTAGAAGTTGGCAAATTTTCAGAATGTGTCAAACTCTGGTATAAACATTCCTCAGGCAACTATGCTCATAGTAATAACTGAGTCAGGCAATGTCACCATTTTTATGTGTTCTTTTTGCTGTCTTCCAAGTTCTAATGATTTTTGAATAGAAATTGTGATATTTTTCCCTTCATCTCGATTTTAAAATATTGCTTCAGAAATTTGCCACTAATGGAGAAAAGTAGTAAAAATTCTGAATGAAAACAATATTTTACTACAGAATTGCTTAAGGGAACAATGATAAGCTCTGTAGACAGCAGGTGCGCAATGTCAAATTTGTGCAATTCTCTGATGTATTTTTAAATGAAAACAGATCACTGTGTACATGTAGAGGAGACAAATGTTAAAAATTAGAGATTAATTTTGCAAAAACAATGCAAGTGTTTTGTATTTTAATATATGATATAATTAATAATAAATAATTAAAATTTATATTCTAAAAATGTTTCTTCTTTTGGTATGGGAATAATGTTTGGCTGCTTATGACAAATATCAATAGTTTGGGAATACTTAAAAAAATTGCAGAAATCATCAACTTACACCCGATAAGTAATTTTTCTCTTTTCATATGTAAAAGACTGACAAACTGCACCAAGGTGGTTGGGTTACCCATGCCAGGAAACATACAATAGAAATAAAATGTTAGCAATTACCATTAACAACTTAATATTATTAAATTAGTAAAGCAACTGGTTTGAACTTGGTTGGCCACTTCATATGTAGCAGAATTCATACAGAAGCAAAGACAAGCTGAGAAAAGTGTTATTATTTTTACGTGATTTTGAATGCCGCCACGAATCAATACTCACCAAAAATCGAAAGCCCTGTTTGTTTGATCAGCTGATGTTGAAAATATCTTATTCCAACAAAAGATGCCAATAAATTGTTAATGGCATATTGGTTCATGCAGGCTAATCCCAAGTCTCCGGTTAGCTAAATACATCATTACAAGTTCAAAATACATTCAAGAACCAATTCAACTAGCTTTTATACTTAAATAATAGTTTCTGTTACATGGGCATAATTTGTAAGCTTATCATTAACACCTTTTACATAACATATAACTCAGCAAAATTTAAAAAGTGCATTGCAATCAAGTACCTGCTCTTGTTCTTGATCAGCATCATCAGCACCAGGAAGTGCTAACCAATATGCAGGACTGAGACGACCTTCCTCAACATCGCCTACCATGAATACAGGACGAGATGAAAATTGAGCAGACTGACTTTCAGGTAAAGGTAAGATTGGTTCTACAATTTCTGAAAATTTCAAAAATATACAAAGCAATCTTAATTTTTGAATTGTACATAAATACATAACAAGTAAATTGGTGCACTCACATATATATTTTATGGAGAATAAGAAACAAATGTAAAATACTGACCAAACACAATTTACAAACTCAAAACTTACAAAAGAAGTAAATACAAGTGATTTTCAAACTAATACAACAAATAAAATATTTGAAAAAATTCTAACAAAATTATATTTTAAAAAAGAGAAATAATTCATTTGAGCAAAAATAAAAATTTTAAAACAAAAACTGAAAGATTAACCTTTTTCAACTTTTGGTTCTTTTGCCGCAGCACTGTTTAAAAGTGATAGTAAGCCTGATATACTCTCCAAAAGACTTTCTACAGCCTCTTCATCATTTCCAAATTCCTACAATAAAATTTACAAATGACTTAAAAATACATAACTATTATATGCAAAATAATTATGATGCAATAAAACAAAGAAAATATACAAACAAAGAGCATAAAATTATCTCAGAAATATACATCTTCACTAACACAGAGCACAAAACATGCATGGCCAATATGTACCCGTGTGTGTGCGTGCATGCATGCATGTACGCATGTATGCATCCTATCAAGCATGGAAAGTCAAAAACAGTATTTTCTGCATATTTTGCTTATTTATTACTGAAAAGGTATGGGTGCAGTTTAAGGAAAAAAGAAAATTTGTATGACATATATGGAGATACCAAAATTGGTTTACAAAATTTCATAGCAGCAGTTTTGATACTGAAAATGCACTGCATTCTAGAAGGCCAATGAAGCTGAAGCCAAAATAAATCTGTTGATTGAACCAAACTGCTGAATACTAACATAAGAAATGGATAAAAGATTAAATTTGTTGAATTCAATCATTTAAAATCATGCTAAACAATGTGGTTTCATTTCAAAGTTTGATTGGATTCTACATGTTCTTACAGAAATTTGCTTCATTACATTGATAACTGAGATTTGTTGCTCAAACATCATGAAAATAATCAATTTTTTAAACGAATCATATCTGGGCAACAAGAAATGGATTGTTTGCCCCAATGCCAAACACAAGCGATTATGAAGTAGAAGAAATAGACTGGCTCAAAGTATACTGAAAGTTGATATTTATCATAAAAATGCGATGCTCTTTGTTTGTAGGATTTTAAGATTTTTTTTTTTTTTTTTTTTTTTTTTTTTTTTTTTTTTTTTTTTTTCCAGTTTCACCAGACAATTATGCAATTAAAATGCACTGCCAAATAAACAGACAAACTGAATAACTCCAGCCAACAGAAAAGAGGTAGTGCTTCATTATTAATAATGCAAAACCTCACAAATGTTTGGTAACTAGTCAGAAGTTGTTACAGCTTGGATGGATTGTGCTGTCACATCCACTATATTTGGTAGATAAGCATGGAATCATGCTACTACCAGAAAAATGACAACAAGAATGATAAATATATAATTAAAAGAAATATTATAAAAAGAATTTTTTTTTTTTTTTTTCAAAAATATTAAATTATTTTCCACAACCCTACATTGTTAAATTTAGTATGAGTATTTGAATAATTTTATGTAGTTACTATGAAATACAACAAAATAATTTTGAATATTACAAAAATTTCTATTTATTTTACTCAATATTATATGAAGCAAATAAAGAAGAATTATTGGAAATGTGCATCTAAATCAATCAAAAAGGTACAAGAGTTATTAAAAAGAAATATCTCATTCTGGAAAAGTTTCATTCTATAAAAGAGATTTTGGTTTGATAAATTCATAATAAATATTGCTCATATTATGTTACTTTCTAAAGTCAATTACACTTCTAAAAAGCAATGAAAGTTATATTCTCAAGATAAGAATGAACAGCTTATGAATTCATAAAACTGTATCCGACGTAAGTGGAATGAATTATTTTGTGCAAGGAAAACAAAGCAGTAATATTTCTTTTTTTTTTTTTTTTTTTTTTTTTTTTAACAGGCAGTTTTCTTCCCTGAATGCTTATTTTTTGATTGGATATGGGCATCTGCAGTAGTTATCTCCCCCCTCACCCTGACTTCTTAGAACAAACATTGCATGACTCTCAGAGATTTTCAGATATAAGTAACAAGTTTTCCATTAACAAGTCTACATATATATTAAAGATTCTTTTTAGATTAGAAAAAAAAAAAAAATTTAATTGGAAGATAATTTAAATTTTTAAATTGGAAATAATTAATTTTAAGTTGGAAGATAATTTAAATTTTTAAATTGGAAGATTTTACTTTGTATTTTACTTTGCCATTTTAACACTTTGCGGGTCGCACATTTATCGAAGCGCCGTTACGCTGCCGCCAGTTCACGCAGGTTCTACTGCTCGCTAACGATGATATTTACGCAATTTTTCGAAACATACGTAGCTGGTATATAATTATTATTAAAGAAAGCACTAAAATAACTGTTACACTATTTTTATTCCATTTTATTCCAATTATATTTTTTAATTAGTACTAAAACGTTTTATTTAAAAAATTTAACTCCTAGGATCCTAGTTCTTTTTAGTATGACAATTCTGAAAACATTTTCCAACATGCAGAGAAACGTTGCAGGAAGAACACATGTATGCAGTGGAACTTACTTTTCTTGGCGGCAGTGCAGACTTTACAGACCATTCATGGGTTTTGAATTCTCCCATTACCACTAATATGTGTTATTCTATGTTTTCTCATGTCCATAGTAAGTCTGCCTGATAGATCAAACCTTGGCGATCTTTTATCACATTGAACAGCCGATCTTCATTGTTGCTCCTCTTCATTCTCATTAATCCATGCTAGTGCAAGGTTTAGTAAAAATTGTCTGAATCTAATAGGATTTTCAGAATTGTTGATGTATATCTGGAATGCGTTGAGTAATGCACAGTTTATGAGATATAAAACCGTTTCTTTTGTCCTTTTTTTTTTTTCGTAGTATGGAATAACACGATAGGTATTGATCAGTGTGATCAACACCTTTTATAAATTTATTATACTCTTGTATGCAAATTGGTTTTAATGTACTTCTTTTTGGTTCTTTTACTCACACATTCCGATCATGTCTGATGAATGTATCCTAGAAATCATCATTATCAATTTTTGGCCGCATTCCATTTTTGTATCATAATTTTCCCATTTCTCCGAAATTTTCATTGACTTACTTTTCAATGCAGATTTTAAACAATTTGGCACTCCTCTGTTTACTCTAATTGTGGCATAGATGTTTGTTTTATGCTTTAGTAACTCCTCTGCAATCTTTACACTATTGTGCAATAGTTGTTCCTACATCATTGTGCCATAAATTTAAATACAGCGATAGCAGGGACAATATTATCGCAATTAGTGATTTTCCTTGTGTACAATATATTTCTAAATTGCATATATAACCAGATGTTGCCTCACACACCATACGGACTAAAATTCCATATTTTATAATTTTCGCAGGATTATATGTACGAAAAGATAGCTTGCCCCTCCATGGAATGATACCTTCCTCCAGCGATAATTCTTTCTCGGGTTTATAAATGTTTTGAAACTTTTTTACCAGGTATGAGTAAACTGGTTTTATTTTATCAAGCCTTTCTTGGCAATGCTCACTATTACTGAAGTGCCAATACTTCCATAACTGCCAAAACTGCCGAAATCAGTTCTTTGGCATAAGTATTCCGAAAAATAGGTGTATGTAATTGCAGGGTGAGTAGACCAATAATCGTCTTGTTCTGGTTTTCTTACTCTATTCCCATTAGGATAACAAGACCCAAAATTTTTTTTTTCATTTCTACACCATTTGTTATCAATCCAAGCTTTATTCTTTGTTGATGCATTGTTGTTATCATCATTCTGCTGATTATGATATAAGTTTGTTTGTGTGGCAAACAAACTAAACAAATCGTCCCCAATGAACAATTCCACAGTTGATAATATATCTGGTGTGTATGGTATCTGTAACACAAACCACTCCAGACATGCATGAAAGTTAGGTTTAAAATCAACTTCTGACCAATCATTTGCCACAGAATTCTCTTCATCACTTTCAGATTCACTAATTATTATTCTTCCCTTATTTTTGAATTGTTTCACAATTATATCGCTCCCACTGTCCGAATCACTTTCACTATCAGAACAATTATCCTCTTCTGATAACATATCAGCATATATTTCCTTCATCGAAGAGCATTTTGAAGGATATCTTTAAATCTAATATAAGTTTTCCGATATTTGAAGGCAGCGAAAGACAGTCTCAAACTAACAAAACAAGCATGTCCACAAAAAAAGATTTCAATAATAGACAGTCTGGTGAATTGGGAGAGGAAAACAGTTGAAAACAATGTTTCCTGATCGTCAAATGTTTTGCTATAGTATGTCTATCTATACAAGCATCGTCGCTGGTGAAAATAAGTGACGTGTACGTGACAGCAGCCAATAACTGTTGGCGAGCAAAAGTCATGCCAGCGTGACAGCGGCCGATAACCATTGGCGAGCAAAAGTCACGCCAGCATTTCAGAGGCCCACAAAGTGTTAATTTGCTTTGAAGAGGACTAGAATTTTTGGGTGAACTATTAAGAATAAAAAAATATATTGAAACTGTTCATCAGCTAATTCTGGATACAGAAAAGCAAGGATTTTGTTTTGGAAGGGGAAATGTAATTAAGTTCGACATACCTCCTCCTGACGACATTATGTCGCAGTTGACTAGATTCCTCTTCTTTCTTGTTCTTTTATATTCTTTTTTTGGTTTTTCTTGTGATGGTTTATTTTAATTTTTAAATTTTAAAATATCCTTATTCTTCATTTATAGAATTTTATGAAGTTTATTCGAATTTCAATTTTTGGTCTTTGTGAAAATTTGGTTTTAAATTTCTTTCTTTACATAGAAGAGAGAGTTTTATATAAGTTTTTTATTAAGTTGTATCTAAATAACTTGCAGAAATATATTTTAAAAAGTTTATATGCAGGAGTTATTAAATACATACAGTAAAAACCTTTTTAGATGTTTCAGCGTATTAAGTACATGAGTACAATAAAAAGTCACATACTGCAAGAAGTTTTCCCAGTTCCACAACAGGCTGAAATGGTTCAGATACTTTAGTCCCGTCTTTATCACCTTTTGCTGAAGGATCAAATCGTAACAGTTCAGCAAGTTCACTTAGAGATAAGAGAATTGAACGTCCAGTCTGAGCCCCATCTTCATAGCCATTAACCATGAGTCGCAAGAACTCAAGAGTTGTTGATAATGTTGATAAACAATCACTAGAATCTTTACTAAATGATAAGCTAAATCTTGTAAACAATGAATATATAGCACCAGGATGTTGTTCTAAACCCCTAAAAAAGTTATTGAATAATTTCATTTCACAGCAAAAACATTAATAGAAAAAATTATTTCTGTTCAGTTAAAATAAAATAATTATGTGCTGAAGTATTGAATAAATTGGTTCAGTGGATTATTATTTTACTTTGATAAAAAGACATTCAAAATATTATGGAAAAATCAGAGATTTTACAATTAAAAAAATATTTAAACATGTTTGATGCAATAAAAATATACTTATCTAGGAAAAGATAAAAAATTTTACTTAAAATTTTCAATTACACATTTTTTTCACAACAATAAAAACTCTACACTAATCAGCAGACTAGAACACAACAAAATATTGATTTCCATAAATATTCTGAACATATACATTGATTCACTTAGAAAGTATTTCAAAATAAAGCTGGGCACTGTTCTAAGAACAGTTTCTGCCCCATAAGTGAAAACAGTGTAGATTTTTTAAAAAATTGATATTTTTAATGATCTTCTTTCTTTAGTAAGATTTATCTAGTAATATTTATTTTATTTTTTACACTGCTGATTCCATGTTTAAATATTATTTGGCGGCTTCTTTAAAATTATAAATCCAGTTATTTTTCTTCTCTCTCTCTCTCCCCTTCCCCCCCCCATGTTTTCTCAGTTCTTGGTATTTACAGCTTTAGATCCTAGATAAATTTTAAAAGTCTGCTTGTTCCGGATCATAGCCTTTTCTCGCTGAGTTTTTTTATTGTCTGAACTCTTGGTACCTTGAGCAACTCCTACACAAGGACATATTCCTCTTAAAAAATTATATAAATTGGTTCGATTTCTTTTTCTTAATTATTTGGATATTTATTTCTTTGATAGCCTTCTCAGCATCTGAATTATCAAAAAGGGATTACAATAAAAGTGTTGCGAGTATTCAATATAATGATGCCTGTGGCATTGTACTGGTCTTCTTCTGCCTCTCCATTCTTGAAAAATTTTAATTGACAGATTCCACTTTCTTTTTTATTTTTATGAAGAAAAAGCAATTTTCCATCTTTTACATGGTAAAATTTTGTAAATAATTTCAATACAAGATATATAAATATAAACTGAGTTCTTTAATATTTTCCTCTGTTTATTATGATAAAAATTCTTTTTGATCACCTGAATCAATTTTATTATGTTTAGCTATATATATTATTAGCTTATATAGTATGATACATTTATCTTGAACTATACATTAAAGAATGTGAAAACAATATTATACCTTCAAATCAAATGATTAGTATTTCGTTAAAGGCTTGAGTAGCCCATCTACATTACTCGCAATTCAAAAACATATACAGTCAAAAGTCGTTAATTCGGACACCCATAATCCGGACATCAAAGCTAAAAACTTTCTGCGCATGCGCCGCGTTGGCACATGCGCACAGTCGTTTTACGCGTGCGCGTAAGACTTTGAGTACTGCGCTATGCGTGCGCAAGTGCAGAATACGTTTTTGCCTGCGCGTTAATGTATAACGGACAGTGTAAGCTAAATTATCTAATACTATTTCAGTTAATGTTAATGATGCGTTGTTCCTTAATCTTCGAATTGGATCTCACGTATTATTTTTGCAGACTGTAAGAGCAATTTTATAAAAGTAAACTTGAACTTTCGATTATGTCAAATGAATTTCCGATGCGGAACTTCCAAATGATCTACAAACGAAAGTATGTTTCGATGTCCACAACAAAAAGTGGAACTGCTGCGAAAAATGGATAAAGACATAAGAATGTGACAGAGAGGTTAGTGAAAACGAAAAAATTTCGATTGACAAGTAGTCGGTATTCTCGGCACAGCATAATGGGACTTGAACAGCGGAACTTTGTAACTGAACAAGAAATATGTCTGTTTATAAATTAAAGAGAAAGTATTATCACATAAAACGAGCAACTTAAACAACTTGCATTGAAAGAAATGTTAATAAAGTAAACAAATAAATATTAAGCTTTTTTTTTGTAAATTTTGATACCGTTTTAGATCATAATTGTTCTTTATTTCATAAATTCGGTTTAATATTTTTAATTTAGAATTCTGCATACCATCTTACGAGATTTAATGAGATCTATATCCAGAAATCGATAATCCGGAATCGCCGAAGTCCCGACGAGTCTGGATTAACAACTTTTGACTGTACTGTGTATATTGATATATAAATCAAGACGTAAGATTTTGTTTAAAAAAAATCAGATTAAATTTCAACCTATGTATAAACTAAATTAAAAATTGCTCAAATGTATATCACCAAAAATATGAATAATTTATCTAATTTAATAATAATGAGTGTCAAATCTTCCTTATTTGAAAAAAAGGCCAAAAAAATTAAGACTGTCCAAATGTTCAAAAAATGTTGCATCAAAGCAATGCTCTGAAAAGAACTGATCATATTTATTATGAAGAGGATAATGATATTAATGGTGAAATGGAGGGCTAGTCAGTAACAGAGACAGACTTCTGAAGAAGTGCTAGAAAATTTTGAATTTAATACAAATAGATAATATATTTTGAATAAACTTGATTAATCTCTTTTAATAAACTAAAAATATAATTTTTACAATTATTAATCTTATACTATCCTTTCGGTGATGTAATTATTTATAAATCATTAATTCATATACAATACAAAGTCTTTAATGTGGACATTCATAATCCAGAATGATCTATAATCCGGACCTCAAAGCTACAAACTTTCTGTGCACGTGTAGCGTTTACGCATGCGCATATGCATTTACGCATGTGCATAATACGTTTATGCATGCACATTTAATATATAACGGACGGTATAAGCTAGGCTAAAATTATCTAATTATCTAGTTCAGTTAATGTTGCAGATAGCGTTGTTCCTTAATCTTCGGATTGGATCCGGCTTATTATTTTTTGCAGACTGTTAGAGCAATTTTATAAAAAGTAAACTTGAACTTTCGATTAGGTCAAAAAGAGTTTCCGATTCTGGAGCTGCCAAAGGATCTACAAAGCGAAAGCAGGTTTCGATGTCCTTCAAACAAAAGTGGAATGCTGAAAAAATGGATAAAGGCATGAAGAAGTGACAGAGTGGTAGTAAAAACGAAAAAATTTCGATTGACAAGTATTTCTGGCACAGTAATTACAGGACTTGAACAGCGGAACTTTGTAACTGAACAAGAATTATGTCTTTTATAGAATTAAAGAGAAAGATTAGCACATAAAAATAAGCAACTTAAACAACTTACATTGAAAAAATGTTTAATAAAAAACAAATAAATAGTAAGCTTTTCGTGTTGTGTATAAATTTTGATACCCTTTAGATAATAACTGCTCTTTATTTCATAAATTACGGTTTCATATTTTTAATTTACAATTTCTGCATGCCATCTTATCAGATTTAAATTGATGATCTATAATTTGAAAAAAAACCCCTAATCCGGAATCGCCGAAGTCCCGATGAGTCCGGATTAAAGACTTTGTACTGTATAAACCAATCCCCAAACTGCAGCAGCAAATAATCTGCTAAAAATTCTCTATATTACATGGAAATGAAAATGATACTTCAGTTAATATAATAACAGTAAAAATACTAATTTAATTAGTCATCTATCACAACTTCTTTAGAAAAATAAATAAAACTAAACATGAAGACAGAAATTTTATATATTAAAAAAAATCATGCAAGCGAAAACTCGGTAAAGTTAGCTAATATTAATATTTCATAGACTGGCAAAATTCATTTTATTTATTTTTATTTTTCATAGGACTAAAAACCTGTAAAACTTTTTTATTGTTTGATAAAGCTAACAATTTTCTTTTCTGTAGATTTGCTTATAGGGGGAAAAAATTACATATAATACAAAATGCTGTCCCTTCTTCCTTCTTCAACTTTTATTATTACACAAGAATTATTTTCCTCAATATTAAACAATTAAATAATTTTGGTGAGACTTGAGCTCCTTGTTTTCATTTATGCTTCCCAATGTTATATATATGTGTGTGTGTGTGTGCATCTGAATGCTTAAGGTATCACAGATATAATATTACTTACTGTTTAACATGATAGAAACCATAATCATGCTCAGTTAGCATAACTAGAGATCGTAATGATGGGAGTACAGAAGAATAACTATGCTGATGGCAGCCAATATGCTGTATAAGAGCTCCACAAATTTGAGACATATGCTCCTTACATGGCAAGCTGCTTGATAACTGATGAGAAACAAATTACACAATCAGAGATTCTAAGATTACAATTTCTGTAAATTCAGTTCACTTGAAATGCAAATTCCTTCCTACTTGTACAAAATACTAAACTACACATACAACAATAATCACTGATTATTAAAGATTGCCATTTGATGCAATTATAAAGTAACTGCAAATTTATGATGCATTTTCAGTAAAATTTTACAAGTGCTGGAAACTTATATATCCTACTATGCTCAAAGCACACATGCACATAGGTTGGTTATTGATCATGGTGATGGTGAGGAATACAAGGGTTTTTAACCGAAAAAGGAATGTTTTAGTAGAATTTAATTGATGTTAAATTACAATCCTTTATATTAATCAGGACAAATCTACAAAATACTGTGTGTGTAGTAGAAAATATGAACAAACTATAAATTCACACTTAAAAATATTAAATGCACGAACCTTAAATGTATTTCAAAAATACTTTTCATTTAAAGAAAGATTTAGAAGTCTCCTGTTTTAAGTTTATCCAAATTTAGAGTTGAGTTTAAACTTTCAAAATATCTGATGTACTCAAAATGCTTATAATAATTAGCATCTTATATTTCATTAGCTCAAAAATTTAGAACTGCCTTGTAGTTCTTCCAAATCACTAAGTATTCATGGTTTTAGAGCTGGTACAAAAAGGGATGAGAACTTTTTTTAAATGTTTTTCACAATATATATTTTTTGCTTCCCCCCCCCAAAAAAAAAATCTGAAAGCTTTACGTGCAAAAGGGCATTTTTATAATGTTTTGTGGGTTACCTTTATTTATTAAATATCATGTTCTTTGCACATAAACCATAAAATTCAGTTCAACAGCAATATCACAAAATAATTTTTAAATGAGCATATCTTTAGAATTTCCAATACACAGTCTCCTGTGATGGAGATAATTTTTTTCGTACAGTGTTGCATTTGCTCGCTTTGAAATTGTTGAGTCTGTTAATCAAAAATTCGTTAAAGTTTTACAAAATATGAAATTTATAATAAAACAAATTCTAAATTCTAAATTTGGGCTTCCAGATGACCATATTCAGGTGGAAATGTACATTATTCAAAATTTGAGGTACTGTTATTAAGTACTGTTATTTTATCAGTATGCGAGAAACATACATACGTTTATGCAGATTCTTCATCATTTAAATTCTTTAAATATAATACAGGGATCTAATATTTGGTGGCAACAATTTGAAAAGTTAACCGACATTTCAGCGCAAAATGTGAAAACGAAATTAATAGTCCTTCTGGGCAAATTGCCCCTTTGGTCAAAAAAAAAAAAAAAAGAAGAAGAAGAAGAAGAAGAAGAAGAAGTTGGTGATGATAAAAAAAATAATATGATTTCAAACTTACTGGTTTAGACAAAAGTTCATATTTCAGTCTATCACCAGTTACTTGTAATTTTAATAGTAATCAGTGTCAGATGAATATACATAAAAAGTATTTTTTGATTTTCTAAAGAACTTGGAAATAAAACTAGAGAAAAAGAAAAATATTTTAATACATACTAAAATTACATACATGCTACATTATCTTATCTGTTTTAGTGACTTTTCACGTTACCCATTTCTGATTCTAAGCAAGCATGAAATAAAAGTTTAATGGAATCAATATCTCACCAAGTGTTAGATTCATTCTATTATCAAATTTCATAAAGCTAAAAATCAAAATATGCACCTGAAATTCATTACAGATTATGTCTAATCTATAGATGATTACATCTGTGGTAGTGATAAAAATTAATCTCAAAATGATACTAGAAGTTTTGAAAAGGAAAACTAGCTGCCCATGATGAGACAGACTGGAAAAGATACTCTGTAATTAACGATGATTTCCTCAAACTATAAGTCATATTTGTTCAATAGCAAGAGACAAATTTCTGTAGCAAAGTGTTATTTGCTTTAATTCGGAATGCACAAAGAAATAACATTAGTATGTATCTAACTTTATAATAATTTTGATTTTCAATCCATTTTATCTAGTGCTTCAGAATTTAATAAAAAATAAATCAAATATTTTTCTCCCATATGTAAAATTAATTACAATGCTATTTATGTACTTCAAAAATATAGTTCTTTAAAGTATTATTTAAGAAATTAATTATTAAAAACCCAGCCCTTTGGACCTTAAATAAAAAAATAGCTTTCACATATCTCCCCATACATAAAGCTAACAACAGTTATGTAACTCACAAGCATAATTTCTATAATATCTTAAAAATTAAATATTAAAAATAAATTATACAAAATACTTAACTGTACAGTTTTTATGAGCATAAATACATTTAGAAAATACATATTCTTACCACTTCAGTAACAGATGCTCCGCTATCAAAAGTGATGAAACTGATATCTGGATCACAAAGAGATTGTAAAATTGACTGAAAATAAAAGAATACACACAGTTAATAAAGAGTACAAAACATAGATAAATAGAAGGAAGTATTCATAAAAACTAGTGCTCAGAAAGAGAAGAAGACAGATTTTACTTTAATTTTTTTAATTAGTATAAATTTAATGTATTAGTTTCAATTAAAATAATTTCAGAAATAAAAAATATATAGCTCTGCTGATAAAACAACATTAACAAACAAAGATTTTTTGAAAATACATATTTTTCTGAGTAAGTAAAAAACTTAAGCTGCATAAATAATTCAATCAATAATGTACATTAAATAATTCAAATTTACTCATTACAATATTAATTTTTTATGTCAATGATATGAGATGATGGGAATGGGAGCAGAAACTCATTATTTCCACTTATAATCTTTCAACTAATAATAATGTCAATGACAATAAGTTAAATAACATTGATATCTGAACCTAAAACTACACACACAGATCTCTTTTCTTTTTATTATTATTTATTTATTTAAAGACTGTATTATTGGTGTAATTGAACTTGATTCTTCATATAGATAACATTCAAAATAACTCATTTGTACAATAACTTTAACAATGCGTATATTAAATGAAAACAGAAATTTTACAACTTCTCTCCACGTTAAAAAAAAGTAATTGGACATTATTACATAGTTAAATTTTAAAATTTCATGATACACAAAAATTTCTGTATATGTTTTTCAATAACAAACAAAAACTTCACCATATCTGAAGAGACGGAATTTTAAACATTTCTATTTCAACAAAAACAATAAAACAAAATGTGATTTATGTTTGGATATCAAATTACAGTTCAGATAGCATGATTATAGATGTGTAGAGGAAAAAAAGTACATGATATAGATGTGTAGAGGGATAAAAAAAATAATGAAAATGTGCAAATTAATCATAAAAGAAATAAAGAAGTAAAACATTTTGAAAGTGGTCAATGACCATGTCTATGTCAATCGCTTTAAGTCCATGTTCTCAAGTGTTTCAATAAAATTTAACTTATAAGACTTTCATTACTTACCACAACACATTCTTGACACTGGATGACATATGATTTTTCAGATGGAGTATTAAATAACTCTAGCATTAAGGTCAGAACATCAACATATTTTTCATCGGCTTTTACACTAGGTAAAAAAACATCAATAAATATACACAAAACAAGAATCTACGTATACTAACCTTAAAAATTTAATAAATTTTAATACTTTTACATTTAAAAGTCATTGCACCATAACAAGCAATGTAAGATAACAAAAATCATTAAATTATCATTTTACATCATAGTGCAAGAAGTAAGTGAAAAACTGGTTGCTTTTATTAACAGTACCTAAAAGAATAAAGGGGAGGATATCACAGCTTCAGGAAGGCAATGCAGTTGCCCTTTTAGTTAGCTGTTATGTAGTTTTAGTTTATAAATATAAAATATTACTTTTGTTCAAATTTTGGTATTTATCAAAATTTTCTATACTTTTTGTTGCTTAATTTATAAAACACATTAAAAAATATTCTAAATAAATCCATATGTATTTTTTTAGTTTTGAAGAAGAGGGGTGAATTATCTTCTAGCAATGGTGAAAGGGGTGCATGGGGCAGGTTGAGAACCATTGAACTAAGGTTTGGAACTTCAGAGTATGGGTGTTAAAGTGGTGGACTGATGAATGATATGTAAGCAAACTCATTGAGCCTTTTTTCATTTCCTTTCCCCCATGAAATCACTTATCTTAGTTTGCAAATTCATGGGAACAAAAAGCAATGAAATTCATTATTTTGTGACCTGTGAAATAGTAAAGCTCCTGCTTGTGATGCTAAGTAATGCAAATATCTACTATGAAAACAAAAATGAAGTCTGTAGCCAACTGAATTAAAATGAAACATTTCAAATTTCTACATAGAAATTTCTAATGAGATACAACAGTGATATTACTGGCAGAAAAGTGGGTGAAGGATTAATGCAAATAAATGGTCTGCAAATACATTATTGCAGCTAATCAAAATGGCAGAGAAAAATTTATATTATTGTTGAGTAGATATTCTGCTAAATCTTAGTGTTCATTAAAATTCAAACCATATATTATCATACAAAAAGCTAAAATGACATCCTAGATAGCAAGTGAAGCCTTTAGAGTAAAATGAAGAAGATCAACAAATTTATCAAATTGATAACCAAGAATATTCTTCTTTTCTTCAATGTTTGGAAGATTTATTTAAAACTCCCTACAGTAAGCAACATATTTATAAAGACTTAAACTTCAAACAACACATCAAAATTGAAACTATTACTAATTACAGCTCATGACCGTAACCTTCAACATAAATCTAAAATTTACTTACAATTTGGTGCAGAATTCAAAAAAGTAGAATTAATTTAAATGCTGTTATTGCTCAAATATAAATATTTTCAAATAGTATTTATGTTTTTCATTACTTAAGTATTTTTTCAAAACTTTGAAATGCTTTTTATGAATTAACTAAGCTTAGTTTTATCATTCAGAATCTCTAGAGAAAACACAATTTGAGAAAGTATAATTAAACCACTTTTTAATATAAATCACCTGAAGTTCATTAAATTTTTAAAACAGAGAATTACTTACAAACAGGTATTCAACTGCTACATATGTTCACAAATAGTTAAATAATAATAATTCAACTAATTAATTATAAAAAAAAATAAAGATCATATAAAAAATAAAATTATTCTCATATGCAAATTAATTGATCATTTAAAAAAAATAAGCAACTTACCTGCCTCTGAGAACATGCATTAAAGGAATTTTAAATGATGCGTGTGATACAAGATATGCAACTAATGTTAAAATACGTGCAGTTGAAGTTGTTGGAGTTTTTAAAACTGGAACTGAGTCATGAGGCACTGACACAGCAGGATCTAAATTCTCCTTCTGATCTGGAGATGGTATGATCAATGCTTCTAACAAAGCATCTAACACAGCTCTATAAATAACAAATCATAATTAAAATCAATACTATGCACCTAGACACTGCTTAAAAAAATGTTAGTTTAAATGTTTTAAATTTTTTTTTAGCATACCTTATCACAAAAAGAGCAGTTGGTGCAGCAAGATCAGCAAGCTGAACACAAGCACGTCTTAGAAGTTGTTGCAAGGGATGACAACTAGTAGCTATAATTCAAACAAAATAATTTCTCCTAAAAATTTCCATTTGAAACAAAATCATATAGGAGCTTGCATTTGTTTTCAGAAGTATATAATAAGATTTCTTTAGTTTAAAAATTAAAGCTTATATTCTTGATTACGCTTAATGACAAATAACATACTTTCAGATTAACACAGTATAAAAATGACATTTATATGGCTAAGCTAATGATACACCTATTTGTATAACACTGTTTCCAATGTACTGTATAAACAAAGGAACAAAAAAATTTTGTCTTAGCTTTGAGAATACAATAATATACAATAACAGAATCATCATCATTATATTATTATAACAGAAGTGATGTAAAATAAGCTATGGTTAATACTGAATTACTTTATAAACCCTTCTCTCTCTCTTCATCAAATTTAAAGAAAAATAAATAAAATAAAATCTGAAAGTTTTCAGATTTTAAATTATGTCCAAAGGGGTGTTTTTTTAACATATTGCATGTTACCTTTATTTATTAAATATCATGTTCTTTGCACTTAAACCATAAAATTCAGTTCAACAGCAATGTCACAAAACAATTCATATCTTTAAAATTTCCGACACACAGTTCCGCGCATTGGAGATAAAAAGGTTTTTGACCCCTTGTAGAGTTTTGCCATTGCTCCCTTTTAAATCATTGAGTTTGTCAATCAAAAATTTGTTAAAGTTTTAAAAAATATGAAATTGGTAATAAAACAATTTTCAAATTTGGGCTTTCAGATGCCCATATTCGCAGTAGGATTACGTCATTCAAAATTGGATGGCTCTAGGCAGCGTTGTTTTATCACAATGCAAGAAACATACACATATTTATGCAGATTCTTCATTATTTAATTTCTTCAAATATAATACAGAGTGATAGTAATTGGTGGCAACGATTTGAAAAATGATACACCGTTGATAGAGATTCGATGCAAATCGTTAAATGAAAACAATAATCCTTCAGGGACAAAGCCCCTTTGGAGTAAAAAAATCTTGGACTCTTGGACTTGCACAACTCTGATTATGTGTTGGGACTATGAGTTCCTTGCTGGGCTACCTCAAAGTTCATGGCATACACTAGAGAGCTTTTTAAGTCTCTGACATCTGCCATTCATTCAGCCTTCTCTATTTCTGGATCCCAGATACCATTGATGAAGTACTGCAGAGACAGAATTTCCCTCATTTCTGTTGGGAACTCTGAAAAGGCGAGATAAGACAGACTTTCAACATTCATGGCAAGCTCCTGGAATGTCTCCATGCACTTCTGTTGACAGGATTTTAATTGAAGCCTCCTGTAGTCTTTTAAGCATGTCTTCCCAAAGCACAGCTCCAATTCGCCAGATAGAGCTTCGAAATCTAGCCTCTGGTATTCAGGAAGAGTCTCCTGCATCTGCTCTCAGAGAAGCAGCAATATGACAGGCCCTAGCTTGGAAATTCCATCCATTCGCTTCTGCCCCTAGAAAACTGTGTCTTATACACTTGCCAGGAGATCTTCTCATCATATGCGAATAGCTTCAGAAAAGGACAAGCAGCTATTGCTTAAACTCTCAGAATTGTTTCCTGCTATCACTATGTGCTTCTTTAAGATGTCAACTTCTTTGCCAATGGCAGCAGAAGCCCTATCATCAATTTATTGTTGGACGGCAGAAACTCTTCCTTTGATTCGTTACTCCACAGCAGAAACTCTTTCTTCTACTTGTTTTTTTACAGAAGAAAATCTTTCTTCTATTTGTTCTTTTACAGAAGAAACTCTTTCTTCTATTTGTTCTTTTACAGAAGAAACTCTTCCTTTCAATGTGTCCAACTTTATTTTTGATAGCGTCAATTCTTCCTTCCATATCCTCAAATTTGATTTTTATTATACAGGTAATATCTTTTTTTATTTCCACTTGGCCTACTTTCACCTCTTCTTAACAAATACTTGACCAGCTTCTATCTTTCTTGAACAGGTACTTGGCCAGCTTTCACCTCTTCTCTGAATGCAGCAAAGGTTGCCACCAACTTATTCTTCTGTCACTCGTGTCACTGGTATTCAATCCCACGTCTGACACCAAAAAGAGGTGCGTGCATATGGGTTCATAATAGATTGAATGCACAAGCATGATAATAGGTTAATAAAATTTATTCTTATCAAAAGAAATATATCAGAACACTGGAATTTTCCTCAGAGATATTGGTACAAGTGTTCTCAGTATCATTTAGTATAATCAATAGTTACACTTCAAATTACTAAAAACAACAATGCAATGCAAAAAAGCCTAAAGAGAAAGCTAATTCAGATATCTCAGGTCATGCCAAACTTAACTAATCACATTAATAATAATTAAGCAGCTGATTGAGACACTCTTTCTCCAGCTTTTTATAGATTTCAATCAGTCATAAGATATTTCTAGCAATTTCTGCTTCTCAAGATTTCTGGAAAGCAATAAGAGAATGGAATTATGATTACAATTAACATAGTAGTCAAATACATTTATTCAATTTAAATACAAATTACCGAGGCATCCATTTACTCAAAGTTAAATGCATGTGCCCTGGTATTCTTACTTTTCAGCCATAACTTAAAATTTCTCTCGCACTGCATTGCATGGGGAAATACAACAATTTTAATTACATTTGTACTAAAATTAGCTATCTAAATACAAAATTTGTGATAATAAGATTATAAAATTTTAATAATTTTTAGTAAAACTTCTTTAAGCAAATGTTTAGCAAAATAGAATATATCTACAAGAAAGTAGGTGCTTCACAGCAAATTCAACTGCAAAATGAAAAAAAAGAAAAAAAAAGAAAAAGAAAAACCTATAAACTTGTTCTTACAGTCAAAGGAAGTCTTTAGTGTCCACATCGGACTTTTTTTATGATCACAGTTCAATGGAAAGAAAAATAAAATTTAAAAAACAATTATGTGTTCAAACAATATTCAACTTTTCTGAATACGAAATTGAATTGCTATAAGGACAGTAGACTCTGAAGTAGTTAAAAACAGGGAGTACATATACTGCATTGCTTCAAACTTAAGCCATATTTTTTATTCAGATTTTAAAGTGTAAAATTAGAGTACAGTTTAAATTGAAAGCAAATATTTCAAAAATTTATTTCTGCCAATCTCTCACTATCTAGCAACTGGAATTTAAATAACTAAGGTCTTAAAAATCAATTGGATAGTACAATAGGTATTTCTGAATACCTATCATAATCTCATTTTTACTTTTCATTATTTTTCCAATGTCCCAGTTTTTAAATGCTTCTGTGGCTTGTAAACAAAGTCAACCTAGACCTTAATAATTTAAAAACTATTAAAACTATGAAAACAGATGCCCATATCAAATATGGGCAAATCACATTACACAAAAAAACTTTGCTCTTATGACATACAGGGAGAAATGGTAAGCAATTAATGAGGTTTCCTTTGAGGTGTTAGGAAAAAAACATTTGAATCTAAATTCCAGGTCAATATCTTTTACTTACTTCTTCATATTCAATAATTTTGAGATTTTACATATCAGTAGTAAGAACACTAGAAACCAATACATTAAAAAGGCTAGAAAAGCTTTAATTTAATGACTCAAATTTGTTATTAATTACAGCTTTTAGCCCCTTTTGGCTTCATCAGATATCAGTAATTCACATTCCTGGTTATATTTTCTTATTAATAATGTAATGTTTATGAATATAACTGAAACAATATTCCTATTTATTGAAACAATTTTTTAAATGCACACTGCACAAAAAAAGGACAGGGACAGTTCTACATCTCCAGTTCTACTGGACTGATTGACGAAATTCAAATTGCGTTTTTCATGTCTCGAAAGCATGATTTAGGATATATATTAGATTTACATATAGCATTATTCTAACATTGTTATTTTAACACAAAATCGCACTTTTTTCTGAAATGACATGCCAATTTTTTACCCATATTTCGATTTTACAACATGCCAAACTACTAAATTTTGTAAATTTTGCCAATTTTTTCAACTTGCGTCAAGAATAATTTACTTGGCAAACTTCTTAACTTATAGCAGCCTATTTTTCTTTCCTTTTTTCCACTGTAGATGAGTGGAAAGAAAGTCGTTCGTACTTTCAGAGAATTTTAACAAGGTGCGTAAACCATGTTTGGCATTATTATCACTCAAAAAAAAAGATGCCAAATTTCAAAATGCACCAATATGTAATTCATGTATATCTTAGAAAATTTTTAATAAAAACTAATTTTTTGCAGGTGTGCCTAAAAAAACATCTACTTTCAAATGATGTTAAAAATTTTATTTTTTTATTTTTATACAAAATTTTTTTTTAAATTTTAAAAAAATATTTAAATAACAAATGTAAAAAATAAATCGTAAAAAATGTATGAATATATTTGGATTAAGCATAAATTTTGAATTCTGGGAAAAGGAATCGAGTAAATTTAATTTTTTTTAAAAAAAGAGCTATAAATAAATACATATAAAATTTAATTAACACTGAGAAGCTAAAACTTTGAATGCTAATTTTTTAAAAACTAGTCATGCAATTTTTAGAGAAATTGGTAGTTTGGCATCATGCAGTGGTAGAATCGAAATATGGGAAAAAAATTAGCATGTTGTTTCAGAAAATGTCTGATTTTGTGTCAAAATATCTATATTAGAACAATGCTATATATGAATCTAATACATATCCTATGTCACGCTTTCAAGACATGAAAAACACAAGTTGACTTTCGTCAATTGGTCCAGTAGAATGGGACATATAGAACTGACCCCCCCTTTTTTTTGTGCAGTGTACTTCTATGCATTTACATTGCTGAGTGAATATTGCAGGGAGACAGATAAAAAAATGAGAATGAATGTGAGAAAGTGCATATATGTACATGCCATTTCTGGCTGCTACAAATAAAATTGTTGTCAATCAACTGTGCACTGATTATAAGAATAATGAACTTAATTCTTTAAAAAGCAATTTTACCTATACTTATTAATAACATTTTGGAACACGGAGTGTTTTCTTATATTGACTTAGTAATAAGTAAAATATGTGTTCAACACATATGCTATATTGATTGTTAAAATTCTTAACCTTAAGTCTTAAGGCAGCTCATATCAGTGGCAGCTCCTTTATTTTTGCACATGAGCACATGAACCCCCAAAGAAAAACAAAGAAATTAATTAAAAATTAAATAAAAATATTGAATACACTTCCAAATTTTTGTCAATTTCCAGGACGAGTTTCTCTTCCCAGCCCTTTTTAAATGCGCCAATAGAAAACCTGCTTTAGGCATAGAAAACCTGCTTTTCCCTCAATTGCACATGCGATCAAAGAAATGCTCTTGGGATAGAAGTGGACAGAGGAGTGAGAGGTAAAAGGCATTGCCGATACAATTCCATTTGTATATCCTCAGTGCATGGGAATTAGCAATGCTTGCAGTTATCTTGTTCGAATTCTCCCTTGGTTTGTTATATTTGGTTAATTAATATTTTTTCCATTTTCTTCTTAGTTTTTTATTACAGTCAAAAGTCATTAATCCGGACTCGTCGGGACTTCGGCGATTCCAGATTATCGATTTTTCCGGATTATAGATCATCAGTTTAAAGTCTAGATGGCATGCAGAAATTCTAAAATTAAAATATGAAACCGTAATTATGAATAAAGAGAATTATGATCTAAAGAGTATCAAATTGAAAAAAAAAAAAAAAAAAAAAAAAAGCTTATTTATTTGTTTACTTTATTAACTTTCTTCAATGTAAGTTATTTAAGTTGCTTCTTTTATGTGATAATACTTTCCTTAATTCTATAAACAGACCAATTTCTTGTTCAGTTACAAAGTTCCGCTGTTCAGTCCCCGTTAATTGCTGTGCCGAGAATACCGACTAACTTGTCAATCGAAATTTTTTCGTTTCACTAACCTCTAGTCACATTCTTCATGTCTTTATCCATTTTTTGGAGAATACACTTTTTGTTGGACAGCGAAACCATACTTGTTTTGTACGATCTTTGGCCCTCCAGAATCGGAATTCTATTGACTAATCGAAGTTCAAGTTACTTTTATAGTTGCTCTTACAGTCTGCAAAAAATTATAAGCCGGTCCAATTGAAATTAAGTAACACGAATCACACATTAACTGAAATGATCATTAGATAATTTAGCTTATACGTCTTTATACATAAAGCTACGCGAAAGTATCTCATTGCGCACACGCATATGCGCAGAGTAAAGATCTTCGCGCACGCAGGAACGCTATGCACATGTGTCACGCGCGCTGCGCAGAAATTTTTAGCTGAGTCGGATATAGATCTTTCGATTATGGGTGTCCAAATTAACGACTTTTGACTGTATCATTTTTTAATATATATCTTTAACCAACTGATATAAACAGTTCAGACGTCACTTAGTAAAATGAGCACTTGCGAACTAAAGGAATTCAATTTTTCAACACTGTCTCTGGAATTAAAATTGAAATGAAATTACTCAGACCAACATTTTTGCAAAACCAGATCCAGGTGATGAAATGTAAGACTATTGATTTCAAAAGGGAATTCAAATCCAATTCATATAAGAAATGTTCATGAATTTATAGATGTGAATCAACTAACAGGCTATTTGTGTGTCATATGTCCTTTTTGCAAAATTGATTGGTGTTTCAAGTTGGGTGAGTCACGATGTTTTTGATTTAGTATGCCTCACTAATTAAAAAAAAAAAAAGCATAAATATTACCTAACACATTTAAACTCCATCTTAGAATTTAATTTGCTTGGAAAGGTAGGTATTCAGCAACAACTTGACAGTGCATTTCGCTCAAATGTTAAAAGATACAATGAGAAGGTTGCCAAAAATAGTTATGTTCTAACAAAAGTATTGATTGCATTCTGTTTTGCAATGCATCTGAACTTGCCCTTCAAGAACATGATAAACATGAAAATTCATAAAATCCATGAATTTCCAGAGGTCTTATCTACTTCTTAGTGGAACTCATTCCTCTCTTAACTCTTTGCGAATGGGCATTCCATATGTGCATCCCCCACAAGTATCTCTTACACCCAGGTGTCCCACCCACCCACGACTGGTCATGTGCTCATGGAATAAGTGATGTGCATATGCATTTTAAGCTGAACAGGCCACTAGATAGCGTCCTGTGTCCATTACTTTTGAACTGAACATAGTTTTAAGATCCTAACCTTTAGTTAGATCCCATTCTGCCTAACCTTGGTGTCAGCTCTTGCAGGGAAGAAGAAGCTAATGTAACAAGCATAGCTCATTTTTTTAACTCACCACGTGATATGTAGGTGGATTAAAAAAAAGGTTACAAGCATCAGTATTTGAAAAGCAATTACTTTGGAGGCAATACTTTTTCCCCAGAGTGTAGCAGATGGGACTAGTTCTCTAGCAGCATTTGTGTGGGCAGGAAGAGTAAGTTCGTAGATTAACCAGAGTGATTGAAATGGCAAGATGTCGAGAAAAGTGGTCTTGCTTGGAGGTACAAGCTGTGATTCATTATCCTGATTGAGTACCTGGAGCGTGGCCATACCATTACTGCCAATCATTTTTGTGCCACTTTGTTAAGCAATCCTATGCAAGCACTCTGGCATGTTAAGTGATGGTGTCACCTTCCTGTATGCAATGCCCGGCCCCATATTGCTCGCTAAACTCAAGAACTGCTGTAAAAGTAGGAAGTCTGGAGTCCCCCCCAGCACAGCCCAAATTTAGCACCCAGTGACTACTTCCTTTTTCTGAAATTGAAGAAACATTTATCTCAAATGAGGTTCTCTTCAGACAGTGATGTGGAAACAGCTACCAAAAACTCGCTCAATGGGCAGGGAGTTTTACCAAGCCGGGTTAAACAAGCTCGTACTGCATTCAGACAAATGCCTAAACAGATTTGATGATTATGTAGAAATATGATAGGAAGTATGCCTCTTAATTCCCTTTTTAGTTTTCTGTT